TTGCGATTGCCCTGCGGACGTCGCCGTCGACACTGCATGCGTCGGGCGGCGCATGGGCCACAATTTCTTCGACGAGGCAACGGGGGGAAAACGCGCCGCGAGCGGGGCCCCCCCGCGCCCGCCCCGGGCCCCCCCCCCCCGCGGGGAAATGGCCGAAAGGAAGGGGCGCCCTTTCGATTCAAGCGCGACGCTGCTCAACACCCTTTGCCCCGGAAAATTGAACGGGGAAGGCGCGCCCCCCAGCCGGGGGCCCTTGGCGCGCCCCGCTGCCCGCGAGTGGTTTTTAGCGCGGCCCGTTGATCTCTCGCGCGGCCCGCTCGGTTCTACTGCGGCCCGGCGCGCGGCCAAGTGGGGCGCGCTGCGGCCTGCGCTGGCCATTAAATGAAAAGTAATGTGTGAAGGTTTCCATTCTTAGCTCTGGAAATCCAGGCAACCCCTAAGGGCTTGCGTTCCCGCCCAGAAGAAAGCGGCCGCGCAGCGGACCAACTAGAGGCGCCATCCTTATCATCATCGTCATGATCATCATCGTCATCATCATCATCATCATCATCATCCGTAGCCATATTGGCTCAAGCTGTTTCCCCATCTCGCAGGCGCCCGCGGCAGCGGTCAGCGGCGCGCGGTTGGGAGATGGACAATGGCGACGGGGGGCCGCCCGCTGGCGCGAGGGCGGGGCGGCCCATGAGGCGTGGCAGCGCGCTGCGCAGGCAGGGGGGGGACGAGGTTGGCGCTTCGACGGCCCGCCGACGGGCGCGGGCGCGGCGCCTCCTAGCTGCCGCGGCGGCGGTCGGCAAGGCGGCAAGCGGCGGCCCGGGCCCCTGGCAGGGCCGCGAGGCTGCTGCGCGCCCTGCCTTGCGCCTGGCCGCCTCGGGATGCCGCGCCCCAGGCTCGGCGCGGCGGCGGCGGAGCGCCGCGCGGCATGCGCGGCTGGCCCCTGCGGGCGGATTCGCGCGCGCGTCCGCAGAGGGCATCTCGCGGGCCGCTGCAGGGCCCCGCCTGGGGCGGCAGCCCGCGAGACCCGCGGTGCTCGACGAGGCGCGCGGCCATGCCCCGGGCGGGGTCGTCGAGGAGAACGTCGGCGATGCAGAGCCGGCCGACCCCCATCCAGGCGGCGATTGCCGCGGCGCGCAGGGCTCGCTCGGCGGCGGCGCCCGTCGCGCAGTTGCAGGGGCGGAGCCGCGTGGAGCTGCGCCCGCGGCGGCGCGCCGCCTGTCTCACCCCCTCCACCCCCGCGCCGGAGGTCATCCGCGAGGATCTCGACGACGACGCGGATGGGGGGCGCGGGTCCGAGGAGGAGGATGCGCTGCGCGGCGCCGCAGGCGGCGCGGCCAGCGCGAGCATCGACGCTGCACCAAGCGCGGCTACGGGCTACGACACCTTCGGCGCCACCATCGGGTGCTGGAGTGGGAGCTGCATCTGCGGGGGGTATCAGCGTGATCCCACTCCAGCCCACGCCTGCGGTCGCAGGCGACGTCGTGCACGACGAGGGGGGTCAGTGCAGGCAGGCGAGCCCTTGCCGCCCGCCGCTAGCGCCGACGACATCCCCCCGCCCGCCGAGGCCGCGACGGGGCCCGTGACGCGCGAGGCCGTGGGCACGTGGGCAGAGGCGGGGGATTTCGGCGAGGGCGGGCGGTGTGCTCCTGGGTTCTACGGCCGCCACCTCTGGAACGCTGAGGTTGCGCTTGGGCGTGCCATTGATCTTGCGGGCTTGCTGGGATGGCACGACGCTGCATCCGACAGCTCGCTCTCGTCCTGTGTGGTGGAGGACCGAGGCGATGCAGCGGGCGGGCTCGACGACGATTTCAACGACGTCGACGGAGAGGAGCTCGACGACTGGATCGACGACGCCCTCGACGGCGTCGGCGATGAGACGCCCGAGGGGCCCGCTGCGCACCTGCGGTGGGTCAGCGCCCCCACGGGCGCCCTCCTGGACCTGCTGGGGGCGCGAGCGGGCCCAGCGCGTCGCCGACGCCGTTTGCGCGTAGGCGCGCCCAGATCACGGCCGTCGGCCGCGACGAGTTCGACGACGAGGCGCTGCTGGCGGGGTTGGGATTCGTCGCCGAAGGGCGCGTGGGGATCGGCCCTCGCTCGGAGCCGAGTGCGGCTCCTGGTGGGCTCTGCTAGGAGGAGTCGGCTTGCAGGGGGGGGCGGGCGCGGGGGGGGCGCCAACGACCGCGCCGATTCCATCGCGGCCCGCTGCCCCTTCCCGGGACTAACAGGAATCCTCCGGGCCCAGTCGGCCTCGCAGTCGGCGCCGGCGTCGCGCCGCCCGCGAGCGCCAGCCGGCGGGCGGGCCGACCTTGTTGCGCATGTTTGGCGAGAGAGACCCGCGCGGGCCTCGCGCCGTGCCCGCGCCCCAGGGCGACGGCCCAGGCCCTTGTAGCCTCCCGCGCTGACGCGATGGCCTCGCGCGCGGCGCAGGAGCGGGCGCCGCCGACCGTTCGGTTCGGTTCCGCGCGCTTCTCATGCGCGAGCGCAATGCCCCCCATGCTGCTCGCGCGCTTTGCGCGCTGAGCAGCATGGGGGGCGACGGCCGCGCGTTCAATGGGAAACCGCAACGCAAGTTTCCATTCCCGCGCGCGGGGCGGGGTATGAACTTACAGATGCGCCGACGGTCGAGAACTCGCGCGCGCGCCCGCGCCTGCCATGTTGGGCGTGCGCACTGGGCCCGGAAATCTGCGGCTCGGCCGCCCGATGCGCCCCAAAAACCGCTCCGCCTCCCCCCCCGCCCCCCTCCCCCTCAAAACTCTTCCGCGCTCCTGGAAAAACCATGCCGCCGAGGCGGGAGCTCGGGCCGCGGCCTGATGGTCCCCGGGGCACAGGGGAATCAAAGGAATCAGCACGGAATCAGTGCAGAATCAAAACAGAATCGGCACAACTGCGACCCCTGATTCTAGCGGAATCAAAAGAATCAGCACGGAATCAATACGGAATCAAAGGAGGAATCGGCGATGGAACCAGAATCGGCCAGAACGGGGAAGTGGGCCAGAATCGGTGCCAGAACCCATGGAGAGAGGCCTTTTTCCCGCGAGTTCATTGCGGCGGGTCCGCGACGCGGGCGCTCCGCGCGACTTCGCTGGTTCAGCGAGGCGCGCAGTCGGCGTTCAGAGTGAACAGGTTGTTTTCAGGGCGATATCCTGGCGGCGCGCTGGCGCATTGCGCATTTGCGTATTCCTGGCGGGCTGTTTGAAGGCGACCCGGCAGCGTCGGCCGAATGGCCCGCAAATACCGCGCGGCCGATCGCGCGCCCCACGCGGTCACGTCGACCGCCGTGTGCCGCGACGGCCGCGCGCCCCGGACCGCGCCATTGCCGCGTTGGATTGGACGGCGCAGCGCACGTCCTCCAAAAGTCGTCACATGCATATCGCGCGTGTCGAGCCAGCAGCAATCGCTTCCCAGAAGCAGCATTTACAGGCGCCCCATGCCCGCTGTCGCCCGCTTCCGATCCAAATCATAGTTTCTTAGGATGCGCTTGCGCGAATGTGAGCGCGCGGGCAAGTAACGCGTGCGCGCGCTTGGCGCAGCCTGGGAAATCCAACATGGAGCCCCCAGGGGGCGCGGGGCGCCGGCGACGCCTCCGCCCGCCTCCCGCGCGCCCGACCCCCCCCGCAAGCCGACTCCTCCTAGGCTCTGCACACTCCTGAGTCCCTTTCCTGCCGCCTCTGCTCGCGTCGCAGGCGGGCCCGAGGATCGCGAATGCCTGCGTCGGGCTGCTGCCTCTGGGGGGGAAGGGGCCCCGCGGCGTAGGCTGCGCCCCGCGGGGCTCGGCGCGCGCCAGGGTTCCCCCCGCCCCTCTTGGGCTGTATCTGGCGCGGGGCGCCGTCCGTCGGCTCGCTGCAGAGCGGGTGCAGCGACGCGTCGGCGGGCCCTGGCGTGCTTGCATGGCCGTCCGATGCTCGGTGCAAATGCGGCGCCTGCGGCTCCGCGCACGCGCTCTTGCGCGTTGCGCGGCTTCCGCGCGTTTTCGCACGTGGCCCGTTCCAGTGTAGCTGCTGGCGCGCGCGCGCGCGACGGCGACGCCTTCCAGTCAGTCGCGACGTGGTGGGCGATCCAGGAGGGTAGGTCCGCCCACGCTCGGGATCTTTTTCCGTTGACCTGAGCCGCAACCACGTCAGTCCTTCGGGCCTGGTGCCAGGACGGGGTTGCTTCTCAGGTGCGGTGTGCAGCTTGCTGCGTGCCAGCCCGCTGTAGCCGTAGCTTTGCTAGCTGCCGCGCGTGCTGAGTCGCTCTGACTGCTGCGAGCCGTCGATCGCTTGCTCCTGTCGAGGTCGATTTCTTTCGGCATTCGGGCGAATCTGCGAGGGTGCGCCGCGGCGCACGAGACCGAACGTTGCTTCCGCAGGGGCATAGGGAAGCGCCTCGGTCCGAGGGGCAGTGCGAGCTGGGAGCTCCTGACCTCTTTTGACGCGTGGATCATCAGCATCAGCATCACCATCGTCGTCCTCATCGTCATCATCATCATCGTCATCATTGCCATCGTCATCATGATCTTCATCGTCATCACCTTCGCCATCGTCATCGTCATCGTTGTCATCGGCATCGTCCTCCTGATCAGCATCGTCATCTTCATCGTCATCGGCATCGTGACACGGAATATAGAGGACACAAGCACATGTGTGCAACGCAGAATGACCAGACCGATGTTTGGAATAAGTCGCAAACCAAGGGCACAAGAGTTGGCTCACGGTATTGATTTTGACTGCGCGGACGTGGACAGCAAACTTCAATCATAATTAGAATGCGCATCGTCGGTAGCATCGGGAAGGCACATTCGGGCAGTCTCCTTGGTAGTACCGAGCGTGCTTAATCGAGTGGCCTTTCATCCGAAAGGCAAAACGGATGACAGAGGAACATTTGAAAGCTGCACATGTTGATTCGCGGGTACATCAACGAAAACGAACATGGATGGCAACCGCTGGGCCTTGCAAGCGATGCCCCGGGATCCGGCATCGACTTCCCGTATTTACCGACCCCCCCTCGCTTCCGCAGCCCCCGCAGAG